AGGTGTTGGGTTGGGCGGATTTGGGGTAATTGTTTGGGCCAGAAATTGTTTTGGCCCAAATTCAAGACCAAACAGAATTAATTAAAAACCTAAATTAAGTCCTAAATCAATCTAATTTGTAGAAATAAACCTAGTTATCTATTTTACCATAATTAATGAATTTAGACTAATAAAAGAAGAATTACTAATTTGTAATTTAAAGCTAAAAATGTAAAAATGACTCATATTTTTTTGTGGTTTTCGTTTAATAATGCATTTAACTCATGCAATTAAATCCTAAATGCAACTAGACAAAAAATGTTATGCACGAAATACTTCAGATATTTTGATATTTTTTTTTATGATTTTAGAATGTTAAATATGCAACTAAATGCAAGCAACTTTTAACCAAAATTCCTACAAATTCTATAAAACTAAAAACAATTAAGAAAAATCTATTTGTGAATTTCTATAGGAATATTTTAGTCGGACAAAAATCACGTGCTCACAATCTGCAAAGTCATTGAAGGAATTAATATATTCTTTACTATTGAAACACTCATTAAGTCCATCCAAAATACGTGGACAAGGATATGATGGAGCTAGTAACATGCAAGAAAAGATGAATGGTCTTAAAGCTTTAATTTTAGAACAAACTCCATCGGCATATTGTATTTATTGTTTTGCACATCAATTGCAATTGACACTTGTGGCTGTGGCTAAAAAATATAAGGAGGTGGAGACTTTCTTTGCTATAATTGCTAACGTGTTTAATGTAGTTTGAGCATCTTTTAAGCGTAGAGATCAACTTCGCGATCATCAAGCAGAATTGTTGGAGAAATTGCTAGAGAATGGTGAACTTCAAAGTGGGAAAGGATTAAATCAAGAGCGAAGGCTTCAAAGGCTAGGTGACACTCGTTGGGGATCACATTGTAGAACGTTGGATAACTTTGTTGTTTTATTTTCATCTATTGTTCATGTGCTTGAGGTGGTTGAATGTGAAGGTTCTGAGGCTGATGATAGATTACAAGCAGAAGCGTTTTTGAGTAAAATCAATGCATTTGACTTTATTTTCTTGCTTCACTTGATGTTGAAAGTGTTGATGATGTCGAACGAGTAAAGGTAAAGCTTTGCAAAAGAAAGAGCAAGATATTGTCAATGCCATGGTATTTCTTTACCTCACAAAGGAAAGGTTGCAAGTAATGAGAGAAGATAGATGGATGTCATTAATGGATGAAGTCTCTTCATTTTGTGCTAACACATAATATTATGGTACCAAATATGGAAGAATTCTATATTCTTGGAAAGTCAAAGTGTAGACCTTCTACTGTGATTGATTTGCAGCTTTAGGAGCTTAACAATCGTTTTGATGTTGTGAGTGGTAACTTGCTTCTTGGTATGGCTAGCTTGAATCCGGTTAATTCATTTGCTAATTTTGATAAGGAAAAAATAATAACATTGGCCAAGTATTATCCAGATGAGTTTGGTGAATTGAAGCTTCGAGATCTTAGTCACCAACTTGATACTTTCATATTGCACATGCGACATGGTGACCTTAGGTTTTCTGATTCGAAAGGAATTGGTGATTTGGAAAAAGCCTTGGTTGAAGCAAATCTTGCAGAGAGTTATTCACTTGTTTATTTACTTATAAAGTTAACTCTAATTTTACCCGTCATGACTGCAACGATGGAAAGAGCATTTTCATCCATGAAGTACATCAAAGATGAATTACGTAGTAGTATTAGTGATACGTTTTTAAATGGTTGTTTAGTTTGTTACTTTGAGAAGGAAGTATTTACAAATGTAAGTAATTATGTTATTATTGACCGTTTTTAAAATATGAAAGTGCGTCGAGTTCAAGTATGAACGAATGATGTACTTTTGTTATATTGGTATCACATTGATGATATTCGATAATATTAAAGTTTGTATTTTGCTGATAAGTTATCATATAT